CAGAATGGTCCAGAGTTCTCTGCTGCTCCTGTAAATAAAGAGAAAAAACACAAAGTTCTCACTCTAATTTAAACATCACTCAAGGCTGATGTTCAGCCTATAAGCTTTTAAACTTGGTTTTCACTTAGAGCAGATAAAGTGGTAAGAGATAATGAGTAAACCTAAACCAAAGGGAAAGCACATTTATATCAGCTACTGTACTTGGTTCAATCCAGTTTTGCTACTTGGATGCCTACGGTTAGTATAAGGAAACCAAACTAAGCATGTAGAGATATTTCATTCAGTTTTGTTCACTGCTGTTCACAGCTTCCTCCTTGGGTGGAACAATATCAAAGCAAGGAGAGAAATTCCACCAGTTTCCCAAAAGGCACAAACTTTGCCAGAACTACTCAGCATAGTTTAGCTAAACTAAGCCTCTTGTTTGTATCTGTGTCCCACTCACTCACTAAGAACACAGAAGTAAAGGCAATCAGTCTGTGTTAGGAAGTATTTCAGATCAAATCCTTATCCTACCAGATCTCAGAAAGGAAGGTGCAACTCTGCAAAATGTCATGAACAAAATCTATCTATTTAAAACAGCTGTGCAAACAGCAACCTCCAAAATACCGATTTCTGGAGTTTAAGGAATTGATGTTCTGGTGGCAATGTAATCCAAGTCAGGAGTTAAACTAAACAATAAAGACTGCTATGCAATGTCTGTCTACAGATGAACAGACAGGTTATGTGAAATATGCTCATCTGACAGTTTCTCAGATTACCATCTAGAGAACCAAATCAGCAGATGAGCTCCCAAGATATTTAGAACAACAGAGAACGAAAGTGGCAGCTCTGAAGTCATCTACACCTCCAGAGAAAGTACCAAAAGCCACCAGAGGCATTATTTTGTAAGACTTAAAGAATGAAATATTTGCAGACTGATTTGCTGCCATTCAGAATAGACCTGGGAAGTTAGAGTCCTATTTTGAGTAAATTAAGGCAATGTCTACATGAACATTTACTGCATGGCAAGCTGGGGTGTTAATCTACAGCTCTCCAACATGCTGTGTACTAACTGTCTGTGTGGACCCTTCTGCTGAGTAATAAAGTTCTCTACTGCACATTGACATACTGCTGTCAAATCACAATACATCAATGTGCATAAGGGAACTTTTTGTGCACAGCAACACAATCCACACAGACAGTTCAAGCATGGCACACTGGAGCACTACAGATTTATACACCAGCTTGTTGTGCAGTAAGTGTTCATACAGACATGCCCTAAATCTGGAATTGCACTATAATCCATTGCTAAAGAACATATCCTGATATGATTAAGCAACAAAATATGGGTGCAATCCCTCTGTTCTATGCAGAGAACTAAATGATCATAGAGTTCTCCCAAGAAAGGAATCTTTGTAATGTAGAACATCAATATGGCTGAGCCAACTTCGACTCATTTCCACTCCTGCCAAACCTCCTCTGTGATTAAAACAGGCCTCTGATTGGAGCCAATTTACTTATTTAGACTCTATGCTTATTTGAAACACCGACTTTCTCTTACTATATATTTACATAGAGCAAAACGGTGGTTCTCTTCCAACTGGGGACTCGGCACTAGTATAATCCAAACACCACAACAAAAATCTTACTTGGAGTCAGGCTTTCTTTCCATCGACTTTGGAGGTGTTACAGTACTCATTTCCAGCAAGACTCAAAAGCATTTCCAAAAACAATGAGGACACCTTCTGTGCAAAGTGGCCCATGAGGCATCTTATTCAGAGCAAAAAATCCTATGTATATTTCATAGACTTATGGTAATGTAGTGTTCATTTAAAAGGGCAAATCAGTTCCCAGAATATCACACTCATAAAACTATCCCTGTGATGTAAAAATCTGATCTCTGGCCTCAAGCTTTTGTAAACTTCTGTAAGTTAAAGCTCTAAGAACAGACTATACTGCATCACATTTTGCAAAGCAAAGTGAATAACGTAATTTTTTGTGTCTGTCATACACACAGGAATGTTGTGTATAGACATACAACAACTCAACCAAGGCGTCCCCTTCTAGAGATGTGCAACTTTGATGTAAACAGAGATTTCAAATTGGCAGCAAAACCCCTTTAAACAGTAGTTCTATTTTTGTTAAATCACACTTAGCCTTTTAAAAAAGACCAGAGAACAAAAGAAACACAAAGCTTATGCTCAAATAAATTTGTTTGTCTCTAAGGTGCAACAAGTACTCCTTTTCTTTTTGCGAATACAGACTAACCCAGCTGCTACTTTGAAACCTGTCACAAAGAAAATGTTAATTCACCGCTAATCCCTGTGCCACCTTCCCAAATAGTTCCTGTCACTTCTAAAGAACATATTACCTTTCCAAACATTTAAATTAGGAGGAACGAGGCAGATCTACACTTCATCAGCATCATTAATTATTGCAGTGTTTGCTCTCCTGTCCAGCTCACATCATAGTTGGATTGTAGTTTACTTGGGATTTTCATGTTAGAGGTTTACAAAAACTTGGTAATTGATACCATCAGGCTCTCCCATATTCCATTCAGACAACTTAATCTTGAGCCTCCGGGCCAGGTTCTCTTATGCCACCACTTCCACCTTCCATTCAGCTGTACATGCTCTAACTCACCAGACTAGGATTCAAGACTAAGATTTAGGGGAGCCCAAGGTCCAGAGAATAAGTGTCCACAGCCAAATGGGAGGTCTTGCTGGTATGGTTGGGATATTAAGGGTCTAATAAATTGCTGCAGTGGCCCCAAGAGATCGGGAACCACTTGTTTTATTACAGAGAGGAGGAAGGCGGAGAGGATTGCATGACAACTGATATTCAACTTGGCCATGATCAGTTGTGGTAAAATGCTGAAATAGATTTGATGTTATTTTAGTCAAAATAGATTGTTTCTTGGGGCTCTACAACGACACCCCATCAATTCCCCTTCACACACTCACTAAGCAGGAAAAGGTCTCAGACAGGGATGTGTTCGTTATATCCTGATGGGACAAATAAAAACCAAATGGAAGTAGGTTATACCCTAAGTACACCTGGGGTCTATAGTCCTCCGCAGCCCCCATACAGCCCCAAGAGCTCCTCAATGGAATAAGTTCACAACGTGCATATAGATTTCATGACCGCAGGGAGAACCCTCTCTTTTGATATTTGCAAACAGGACCAGAGGAAGTCATTAGGTCAGCTCATCTAGGCAGGTGAGAAACAGAGCAGGGATTTCCACTAGCAGAGCAGCCCTGCGTGCAGGTCTCATAAGAGCCCAGTGGGACGGAGTAACAGGACCAACCACGCAGCAGGCTGGGAGAAGGGACTCTGGTGCCAGGACAGACTCCATCTTAGGGGGGCAGAGAGCAGAGTCTGTGCCAATCTGAGGGCACCAATGAGGCCATTCAATCAGCGACCCCAACTTCTTAGAAAGGGCCGGCAAATGACCCGATCCGCTGCCTGGGGCTTGTGTGCAGGGGCCCTGGGTGCGTTTGCAGCAGCGGGTGAGCTCTGCTCCAGGGCAGGATTCGCCCCAGGTGAGAGGCGGTCACTGGAGCGGGAGGGGACTCTCGGAAGAGATGAGAGCTCTGTGGAAGTGGCTGCTAGAGCGGGTAACGGGGAGAGGCCTCTCCTGAGAAGGGCAGCTTGGGGGAGCAGTTGAAAGGGGTCAGGATGGGGGGGAGGTCACGGGGAGGAGCTTCTCGGATGGGCTGGGGGTCACGGGGAAGAGCCTCTTTTGGGGGGAAAACACCAGACCGGTGCCCTGGGGAGGGAGCAGGACCTGCTCCTGCTCCCTCTCCTCCCAACCCCACCCCGGTTGCCGTTTAATTACGAGCTCCCCGGCCCGGCCCCCATCCCCGGTGTGTGCGGGGAGTGGGGAGTTCCCTCAGTGGCACCCGCGTTCCCGTACCTCGCGCACAGCCCGCCAGCCGCCATCTTCGCTCCCCTCTCACGTGACCCGTTACCCGTCGCACCAGCCTGGCGCCTGCATCACGTGACGGGGACCCGCCCTTCCCTCGCCCCCAGGGTCCCCCATCATGTGACAGACACAGACAGCAAGATGGCGGCGTCCAGTGAGGTGAGTTAGTGAGGGAGCTGCCATAGACGGGTGGAGGGGCGGCGGGGTGTATGGTGACAACTCCAACAAGCGTCCCCTATAGGGGCCAAGGGAAATGTAGCGTGGGGGTGGTTATAGGGGGTCTTGCTGTACGCGAATGTGCAGGACCCGAGATGGCTGCTATAGAGTCGTATAGGTGCAAAGGCTCAGGGTAGCGTAGGGCTAGTGTGGAGCTAGATAGGGGCTAGGTGCGCTGCGGGGCTCCGTGGGGGGTGTGAGGGTAAGAGGAGTGCTCTGAGGGGGAGCGTGTCCGCTACAGGGGCAGGTTGGGGGTGTTGTGTTATACATGGGGCCCCGTGTGGGGTGTGAGGGTGAACAAGAGACGTATAGCGGGGAGGTGAGCCTGTTACGGTGCAAGCTCCTGAAGGGGTGGGGGTCGCTTTGTCTATCCTGCACCGGGTCTTCTTCCTGACCAGTAGTTTGCTACTCACTTGGATTTTAATTCGGGTGAGCAGCTCGAGTTCAACCCCAAACTCCCCTGTAGGCTTGAACTCGATCCGCTTACCCCAGCGAAAATCCGAGCTGCTGTGCCTTCGCTTACTATTTTAACCGGAGGTAGTTAGCGAACCTGAGTAAAGAACACCCCTCTTTTTGCGGGGAAGACATACCCCTAGTGAAGCCCTATATAAACCAGTGAGAAAAGACACACTATGGACTTTCCAACAGATGGGAAAGCTGAGTCTTGGGAGCTCAGTGATTTAATATAGTGATACTTTGTTTTATACCAGGTGGCTGCAGCTTCCAGGTGGACTGGATTATTTTTTATGCCATTAGTCGCTTCATTGAACACATAAATACACTTCTGTTTTCCATAGTGTCTTCAGTATAGTGTCCCAAAATACCATAGTGGGAGTTGAATAACAAAGTAGAAAGTGGAGAAAGAAATTAAGTAGTATATCTAAGAATGAAATTATGTTTTCTATTTTAGCTGATGTGTGAAGTGAGATGAATATCAGAGATGGAGAGAGAGAAATTAAATCTGCTCTAGCTGTCAGGAACTGTAAAGAAGTCATGCAACTAAATGAAAGAAAAGGAGGCTTGTACTAACTGAAACAAATATAAAGAGGCAGGACCCATGAGGCAAATAGGGACAAGTCCATGGAGGGCTTTAAAACAAAAAGTAGATCCTGAAATGAACAAAGAGCATGTGAAGATGTTTGAATATGAGAATAACATGGTTTGTTCTGTATGTAAGCAAGTGGGACACTCCAGCCCATGCTGGAGTTTGAAGAGCTCATATTTGGAGAGATCATAGAGAGGGGAATGGTGACAGTTGAGACAAGAGGAGATAATGATAAAATAGCCCTCATTACGCGTCTACAGGCGTGTAGTTTTCAAATTATGTTGTAGCTGCATTAAAATAGCAGACATATGTAAATTCATACTTGGGATTTCAGCCTTCTCAAGGTGCTTACACCATCAGAACTGGTTACTTGCCCATTTGGGTGCGGTAGTTAGGTGGTGTTGCTGTACGGGCTGGAGCTCAATGTCCATGTTGGCCAATAACTGTTCCTCTGCCTCTGGTTTGCATATAGGGTTTTCCCTGCCCTTTCCCACTGACAGGTCCTTGCCCTGTTTTCTATATCTAGAAACAGACTGCTCCAAGCCAGTATTGGCCCTGTGTGAGGGAGAATTGTCACAGATTACTTCTCCTAACCTCAATCAACTATATGAAATTAATTTTCCTCCCATTGTTTCAAAACTGAAAAATGATTTGTTGGATTGGGAAAAATACATTTAGTTTAGCTTGGCTGTATAGCAACAATAAAAATGTATTGGTTGCCAAAAATTAAATTCATATTTCAGCCGGTCAATATACATTCCAAAAACCTCTAGAGGAAACTCAAACAAGGATTATTAAATTTATAATACTAAGAACAAATAAAACTCTGCATAAACCCATTCTGAAAAAGGGGATTGTCGGTTATCGTCATCATCATCACCACTCCCATAACTGCATTGGTCGTTGGGGCACCATCACTGATGAGCAATCAACCAATTGTCTCCACCCATGACGACTGTGTGTCAGTGCTTGAGTCTCCGTAAAGTTCATTCCTGTCCACTCTTTTATGTTGTCAATCCATCTCTTCTTCTGTCTACCTCTTCTCTTCTCCTGTCCTGTCCCATGGAGGATGATCTTGGACAGGCCAGATGACCTTGTTACATGGCCATACCACTTCAGCTTGCGCTTCTTCACAGTTGTCAGGAGGTCTTCATATGACACAGCACGTTGGGTGATGATGTTGCGGACCTCTTCATTAGTGACGTGGTCAAAGTAGGAGATGCCCAGGATTTTACGGAAGTAAATCCATCTCTACTACCTGTATTTTCCGTTCAGGTTCTGCCATAAGGGTCCATGTCTTGCATGCATACAGAAAAATGGAGATGACCAGTGCATGCAGCAGTTTCAGTCTGGATTCCAGGGAGATGTTCTTGTTCCTCCAAATTGGCTTTAGCTTTGCCACTATTGCTGTTGTTTGCAAAGTTGCCAGAATTTCTGCCTTTGATCTTTCATCAGTAATGATTGCCCCAAATACTTGAACTGTTTCCCTGTCTCCAGCTCTTGTCCACTGACAGTGATATGTGAGCTGATCCCATCATGTTTGTTTGGCATCAGCTTGGTTTTCTGTGCACTGATTTCCATGCCATATTTTGTGATGGTTTCATCTAATCGTTTCACAAGGTTGGCAAGTTCATCGTAGCTATCTGCCAGGCCGTCAATGTCATCAGCAAACCGAAGTTTTGAGATTGTTCGCCCCCTAGTCCTGACTGTGCATACTTGATCTTCTAGGGCATCATTCATTATGTGCTCCAAGTAGATGTTGAACGGTGTGGGCGAAAGAAGGCAGCCTTGCTGGGCTCCAGCAGTGGTGCGAAACCACTCTCCTATTGTGCCATTGATGAGAACTGCACTGTTGGCCTTGTCTTACAGTTGTTTAATGGTAATAATAAGCTTATGACCAACATTGTACTTCTTTGTGGTTACCCAGAGAACTTTGTGCCATACTCTGTCAAATGCCTTCTTGAAGTCAACAAAGATGGGGTAGATGTCCTGCTGACGTAGTAAGTACTTCTCAAATAGAACACAAAGATTGAAGATCTGTTCTGTGGTGGTACTTCTAGCAGGAAAGCCAGCCTCTTCTTCAACGATGATATTCTTCACTTGTGGTTTTAATCTGTTCAATATGACTTTCAACATCACTTTGCTGGGATGGCTCATTAAGCTTATGGTCCAGTAATTCTGACAAAATTGCAGGTTGCCTTTCTTTGGCAAAGTGATGATTAGTGACTGTGTCCATGTGGAAGGCCACTCACCAGTCTGCCAGTTCTTGTTGCAGATCTTGGTGAGTACATCTATTACTATTTCTCCTCTGAATTTCATCAGTTCGACTGGGATGTTGTCAATACCTGTAGCCTTTTTGTTCTTGAGTGATTTCACAGCTGTCGCCACTTCTTCATGCAGTATTGGAAAGTCATCCTCCTCTGTTAAATCTGGGCAGTCTAGGACACTAGGATCACCATTTGTCTGTTGGTTGTATAGATCAGAGCAGTAATTTGTCCACCTATTGATGATGTCCTTTTCTTCTGTAAGACTGTTCCCTTCTTTGTCTTGAATTGCGTTAGCTTTGGTCCATTTCTTCGGCAGATCTCTTACAATCTAGAAGGATTCTTTGCTATTTTTATTATTGATACACTTTTCAATTTTAGGCCACCTTCATTCCTTCCTTGATATTTCTGCCAATCGCTCTGTATTTATCAGCTCCCTCGGTGCTGTTCTTGTCTCTCTTATGTTCCCTTCTAATGTCCCACATTTGTAGTATTTCATTTGTGACCCAAGGTTTTGTCTTCTTACGGTGTTTTCCAAGGATGCCCATTCCTGCTTCATTCATTACAGCATTGAAATTGTTAGTCATTGATTATCAGTACCAAATGTAACAAAATATTATTGGATGGCTCAATTAAGATCACTTTCAGCCTGGTACCCTGGTGACACCCATAAATACTAGATGGAAAAACAGGATTGTAAATTGTTTTTTTTTTTTTTGTTACCTAAAAGATTTAAATGAACACAAAAGAAACAATCCAAATGTCATAATTACACCTCACATATAGAATTTGATACAGAAAAGAAGTAACTCCTTTCCCCTCCCTGCTTAAACTCATCACAAGCAATCTAGAGTTTCAACTGAGGTTATCTAATCCAATGTATAATGTATGGGAGCTGACCCTTGGTCAGCTATTCCATAATGATAAAAATATGGAAATTAATACTATCAAAGAACTCAAGAGGAATATTAATATATCAGTTTGATTTATTTGCAGCCATTATAGCATATCCCATGCAGGAAGCCCATTTTAGGAAACTCTTAAGGAGGGAGAAACATGAATTACAGGAAAAGGCTACTTTAAAGGGCCTGATCTCCACATGGTATAGCAAAATGTTACTGATGGATCTACAAGATAAGGCTACCTTTAAGGAAAAATGGGAAAAGGATCTAAAAACAGATATTCCTTTGGAACAGTAGAAATAGAAAAGCAAAAACTTCAACTACTTTCCACTAAGGAAAACTATTACAAAATATTTTTTTCAATGGTACCTCACTCCATTTAAGCTCAAGAATATATATATATATATACACACATAAAAGCCAAATGCTGGAGAGAATGTGAAGGTGTAGGAACCTTTCTGCATAGATGGTGGGAATGCCCTAAAATAATGGTATTTTGGAGGAAAGTAGCATATAGAATTTGCAAAATAACTAAAGTTAGGCTACCCACAGAACCTATAGTGATTCTATTAGGTTACAGTCCAAAAAAGGCCATTGAGTCAGGAAAGGCCCTACTGAGAACACATTTGCTACTAGCAACCAAATGCATGATAGCTAGTTCCTGAAAAAGGACAGATCTCCTAACACTAGTGACATGGAGAAATAAAGTACTGGAAATCCTTTCACTGCCAAAAAATGACAGACAGCCTTATATAAGTAGATTTTTATAATCTGTGGTTACCATGTTTGAAATCTGAACAGACTTAAACACAGAGAAAGATATTAGCCAAACACAAATGGGTCTTTTAAAGGTAACAACTACAGGTTATGAATAAGATTTGTTAATGCTTGGATGAAAAATTCATGTATGTTAATAATGACAATAAAAAGTGTTGGGTTTTTTTAATAATGGCACAGATCTGTTCAGAAGAGACTGACTAGCTAAGGCTGTGAAATGGGCAGGGAAGGCTTCAAAGGGTTCCCTTTCAGCAACTGGGAAACAGGATCTGGAGAGGGAAAGAGGCTGAGGCAAAGTGTAGGGAGAGGATGAGCTGGATAGGAGCAAATGCCTCAGCTCAGAATTGTAATGATGCGTAAACCACTCCTTAAGCATCTAAATGTAAATTTACTCAGACTGAGTTGGGAGAATATGCATGAACTGTATCTCCAGAACATTTTCTAAAGTAAAATAGAACACTGTGGCCAGTTTTCAGGCTGAGTCTGAGCTGTGTTTTTAGGGTACATGCAAGATGTCCCTCTGTAACAAATGTGGCCCAGCAGTTCTTCTCTTTTAGAAACAAACAAAATTTATTAAGCAGCTTAATACAAAGGTACAGTGGACACTGTGTAGTCCCTTTGTAGACAGAAATATGTTGTATTTGGTCCCTAGCTACCACTAGAACTGCCAAGATCAACCAAGTTCCAAAAAACAGTGGAATCTGTCCAGTTTAGACCGATGTGACCACTTCTTTTTCTTTATGACTTTGATATCTTCTCCTGCACTCATATAATGAAAGCGTTATTGCTTATTTGAGAAAACAAACAGTGAGGTAAAAAAGGTGGTGCAATAAGTAAAGCAGTCAGTCATAAAACTAATAGCAGATGGAAGGAGAGAGACTCTGAGACAAAGGCAGACAGATGTACGTTAAGATGAGTGGAAGTTTGCACCATAGTCTGGAGTATTTAATGTCTTGTTCCATCACAGAGGCTTTTTTCTCCAAGTTTTGAGTTTTCTCCATTTGTTTAGAATCTTTTGCTAATACTTATAACTGAATAGAAAGTATCAGCTTGGATAGAAGTTCCAAGTTATTTAGTACTACTAAAGAGCTTTAATTAACCAGGGGAGAAAGGCCAGATGGGTTAAAATGCTGGAGAATTGCTATTTTAAAGGGACACTAGATTTGTCACATTTATGTCTGAATAATTTTACTTACCAAAATTAGAAATAACCCCTAAGATTACTATAACTTGAAAGATTTTGGAGAAAGAACATACTATCTCTCTTCAGTTTGTTTATATTATATATATGACTGTGCTTTGTGTAGCATTAGCTTTCCCTTTTACACAGCAACACTGGGGGGAAAATATTTTTAAAAATAGGACAATGTGACTCTAAATCCTCAGAAAATCAGAAGAAAGGAGTTGGAGGCAAGGGGAAGACCTGAAGTGACCTTTAACTTTTTGTTTTTTAATTGACCAATTTTCAAGTTGACAGTGTCAATTCCTTTTAACATCATTTTGCTTCTGATTTGTTTGTTTTGTGTTTCAGTTAATTTGAACTGTGGGTTGTTTTTTTTAAATTATTATTGGTATGTTTTAAAAGATCAAATGTTGCTTGTAGTAGAAACAGTATTGTCAGTTCTATCAATAACATGATTGCCTATGTAAGATGCACATTTTCATCTCTTCTTTAATATTTATTTTATATAGCACCATGGCATGTGGGTGCATTAATTTCACTTAATTCTGTAACAAACTCATCACCAAGCTCTTCTGTCTTTATCTAACTTACAGAGATGTCCAAGTGCCTTTTCCAGTGCAGTTCTTGTGAGTGCTGCTACTTAGTATTTGCATACACTCCTTGCAGAATATAAAGCATTCCCTTCTATACTTTTAGGAGAGAGAGGAAAAAACTGGCACTGCAAAGAAGTATTTAGTAATTGCATGTGAATAAAAATACTGTGAGATTTGGCTATGGCATTGCAAGCTGAGTTTTCTGATTCTTGAAAGCAGTAGAAAATGCTGGTTGACTTATTTCCATCTTGATTTTATTTTTCTCATGACAGGAATCAAAGCTTTCAACTGAGCTTCAGAAAATAAATAATGAGGAGGAGGCCTCAGGTGTTCAAGTAGTTGCTTTAATTTTATTATTTTGTTTATCTTTATAGGCGTTGCAGTAGGATGAAAGTGAACTTTTACTAATGGACCAAGGACTGTATTGAAAATTTTGGAATCTGACAGTAGTAAAGATTCTGAAATCACAGGATGCCGCTGACCGGAACCATGTTAAACAAACCAGTGCTTTTGGAATCCCTGATTGTGTTCATCATTGTGTTGTGTGTGCACACGGTAGTTTGGGACCGGTATTCCTGGTGTGCTATTGCTCTTGCTGTTCAGGCTTTTTATGTCCAATTTAAATGGGACCGTCTACTCCAACTGGGTGGGGCCGTATTCCAATTTCGGACGACAGCTAACAGTGGCCTCCTACCAGCTAGTATGGTCATCCCACTCCTGGGGATTGTGATGAAGGAGCGATGCAAGGCTGCCGGTATTGTGTACTTTGAACGTTTTGGCATAGTTGTGGCCTCCACGGGCATGGTGGTAGCCCTCTTCCTATCTGTAATAGCAGTTGGCATCACAAGGCCTGTGCCAACTAACACCTGCATACTTTCAGGCATTGCTGGCAGTATAATCCTCTATACCATGAAGTATTCTTTAACTGTTTCTGAAGTGATAGAGGTTCTGGAAGTGCTGCTTATTTTTGTCTACCTCAGTATGATCTTGCTTTACCTATTACCTCGATGTTTTACTCCTGGGGAGGCATTGCTAGTCCTTGGGAGTATAAGTTTCATCCTCAAACAGCTCATTAAACGCTCACTGAACGTGATAGAGGGCAAAGGGAATCCTGCAGACTTCGTCCTTCTAGTGGCAGTGGCTGGGGTGGTCCTTCTTGGGATTTTCTTCACTGCTCTATTCTTCTTCATGGATTCAGGAACCTGGACATCCTCCATGTTTTTCCACATGATGACAGCAGTGCTGGGACTGGGGGTCCTAATGCCTTGGCTTTACCATCTGATCCAAAGGAATCCCTTGCTCTGGCTGCTCCAGTTTCTGGTTCAGACACAGACAAGAGTTTACCTCCTTGTGTACTGGACCCTATTGGCTGCCTCTGCGTGCATGGTGGTTCTTTACCAGAATTCCAAGAGATCATCTGAATCTAAAAAGCACCAAGCTTCAACCATAACCAGAAAATATTTCCACTTCATTGTGGTGGCTACTTACATCCCTGGGCTAATTTATGACCACCAGCTTCTCTACATTGCTGCAGTGCTGTGTCTCGTAGTCTTTGTCCTTTTAGAGTACATACGATACTTCAGGATCAAGCCATTTGGCCAAACACTCAGGCACTTGCTCACTCTCTTTTTGGATGAACGAGATAGTGGACCTCTGATCTTGACTCACATTTACCTACTTGTTGGGATGTCCCTTCCAGTGTGGTTGTTCCCCAGGCCTTGTGCTCCGAAAGGTACCCTGTCTGGGGCAGGAGCATTGGTTCCCTACTCCGGGGTACTGGCAGTAGGGGTGGGAGACACAATAGCCTCAATTTTTGGCAGTACAATAGGAGAAATCAAATGGCCTGGGACAAAGAAGACGTTTGAAGGGACAATGACTGCCATCTTTGCTCAGATCATTGCTGTGGCTCTTATTCTGATATTTGATGGCAGAGTGAATCTGAACACCAGCTATGCCTGGATTTTGGGGTCCATCAGCTTAGTTTCCCTTTTGGAAGCCTACACTACCCAAATAGACAATCTGCTCTTACCTCTCTACCTCCAGATACTACTCATGGCTTAGAGACTTTGCCAGGAACAGAGACTTCCTTTCTAGCTAGGGGTGGTAATGAGCCATGCATCCTTGCTGAGAGCTCAATAGAGCCAGTTTGGTACGAAATGCTAAATTTGGTATAGCGGGTAGAACAGCTACTTTCAGAAAGGAAATTGTTCTTCAACTCTTAATTGACAATAAAAGTAAAGGCTTCTGTTTGTTTTTTGTTTGTTATTTAATAGCTAAAGCAGCACTAACTGTTGCATCCTCTCAGAGGAGTAACAGGAAACCATCCATGTGATACTGTGATTCGTGTAGCTGGTGATGCTGAATTAGATATACAGTCATAGTGATTTTATTTCCAGGTCTCTTCTGGATGCACTGAAGCAGAAAGGGTGGGAAAGGTGAGTTCACTAGAAGGAAGAGATGGGGTCATTAAAACTTCTAAGGTAGCAAAACCAGGAAAATATAAATAGTCATGGTTCACCAGTTGTATGTAGTGGTGTTGTAGCCATATTGGTCCCAGGATGTTAGTGAGACAAGGTGGGTGAGGTAATATTTATTGGACCAGCTTCTGTTGGTGAGAGAGACAAACTTTCGAGCTACACAGAGCTCGTCTCCTGGTGACCTCAAGAAGAGCTCCATGTAGCTCCAAAGCTTGTCTCTCTCACCAACAGAAGTTGGTCCAATAAATGATATTACCTCACCCACCTTGTCTCTCTGTTCACCAGCACAGGCTCCTACAAAGCTTGTGCACTGTATTGGCTTGCCACCGGGTTGAGTCCTGGTATCTTGTATTATTGCACATGTGAATTCTGCCTCTTTCAATAAAAGCATGCTGTTGCAGTGAGGGTGTGCACCACCTGCAGCAGAGGATCAAGTTGTATGAAGACTGCCACGTCATCTCTCATTTCCTGTTGCAAAATTAGAAGACCTCTGCCAACTAGAGTGAAAACAGCACTAATGCTTATTCTGTTTAAAGTAATTTCAAATACAGAGAATCTCAAACTTAGTTTATTGGAGGAGCATGGATAGATAGGCTTGCAGGGTGAAAACAATAGCCTTTGTGGCTAAACTTTTGATTTGCTTGCCAGTTCTCTGGAATAAACCAAGTTCTACCTTTTTCATGCTCTTGATCTCTTGAAATTACATTGAACAAAACTTGCTTTAGATGTGATTTTTTTTTATTAAAAAAAAAAAGCTACATTAAAAAATTAATCTCCATTGAAAAGAGTCCCATTTCCAGACACAATTTAAAGAGAGGTTAGGTTAAAATTCATTTAAAATCCTTTCTTGCATTACTACTAACATATTAAATTATTAAAACAAAGTATTTTAACAATCCAATGTGCTTCTCTGCTACTCATACAATTTGATTTAGTTCTTGCATTTCTTTCAGCTTGAACAAAGAAAATCACTAAAGTCAGTTTCACAGCTGTTTATAGTAAGTAATGTTCTGGTTTTCATATATGCACTAGTACAAGCTGCAGTGTTTGGTCTGTAAATCATTAGGGGGGAGAGAGGGGGGACATTTAAATCCAGACAAATGGTTTTCATTAAAAATCATCCATGAAAGCATTTCTATTAAAATGTAAAACTACCTGCTGCTGCCCCTTTAATTAGGATCATAACACAGTACACCTGAAACAATTCACTGTTTATAGTCAAAAAACCTTTCCATTTCTGTATATTTAATCCTTTGAAACATTTTTACTTCTAGGAATCCTCTCTCATTAGCATGCAACACTTCCATTAGGACCAGCTTAAGCTGATTTATATCCTGCCTCTTCCACCCTCCCATAGAGTACCTGGTAGGGTGTTTGCTTGCAAGAATTCTTGTCCAGGGAAGTTGATTCTGGTCCCTACTACAGTATCTTTATGGCATTTCTGCTGTGTAAAGGGGCCACACCGGTTCCCTGGGGTAGAACCCCAGCCATAGGGCAACATGGGGCAAACTAGGCAGCTTAGCACCATCCTGTGTGGCCCCAAGTTTGGGACTGGAAGTGTGTAGACGTTAGCAGAAGGATTGCCCAGAGAGCACTGTGTGCTCTGGTTATTCTCTGCTGCAGAGTCAGACCACCTCCAATCATGCTGGGATGCACTGGCCCCTGGAACAACTCAGAGAATATCACATTTGCCCACCCTCCTCCAACCCCCTGGGCCTTCTCTTTCTGGACCATGCCTCCTGAGACACACAGCACAGAATCTCTCCTAGGACTTTAAGAACGGTCAGAAAATGACTGTGATTAACAGAGCAATAGGCTGTGAGGCACTGCTCCAAGGAAACAGCCCTGGAGAGATGGATGGTGCAAGAGTACAGTGACCCTTAGGAACAGTGAATCCAACATGCTGCACAGATTAGTAATTCTCATGTTCCACCTGTGAGACAGAGTAGGACATTCTTTCTACATCTGTCTTCAAATCACATTGAGCAGAGCACAGAAGGGAAAGGAGAGAGGAACCAACTCTCTTAGCAGGAAAATGCTACTTTAAAAAAAAAGTTAATTAGAAAGATGGGGTCTTTTTCCCACAATAACTAAGAAAAAGCCTTAGCTACCACCCATCCGGTGTTCTGCACTTGGTAACAAAGCATTCAGGTGAAGGTTGATATAGCACCAAAGCCATAAAACGAAGCACCAGAACTGAAGGTTACTCTGTCCCCTGGTTATTGACATCAAAACAAGTTCTGAAAAAGGTAGGAAAGATCAGACTCTTGTTTCTAATAGAAGCCTTGGTGAATCTGAGCAAAATTACCACTGTTATCCCTACCTAGCATACTTATTCCTGCTACTGCAGTGATTTCAGATGCATCAAAAAATCCTGTTTGACCTACTGAACCTTTTTTAGCTGCTCAGTTTAAAACTGGCACTCTTGTTCCACCCAGCAAAGTCCCAGCCATTACTTAAGAGCCGCTTTTACCATAAATAAACTCAAGAATTTAATCTATTTCTTCGTTGCAACTAGTGTTTGAGACAAATACCAGAGACAGGCATCATGCTTAGAAAAAGTAATGTAGCAATAAGGCTTGGAGCCGTGTTGCAGAAATCCATTTCTAACCTGCTTTAATCTGATACAGAGCCTGAGACAATAGGATGTCTTGGGTCATTCAGTCCATTCCACCTGCAACAATGCAAGATCATCTGCACAATTTTGTTTTCATCTAGTTTATGAACACCATTGAGGGTGTCTGTTCTGTTGGCAGATTATTCTATTCAAGTGACCTCTTAGAAACTGTCTAAAGTTCTTCTGTGTATTTTCCCAAGTGTATTAAGTATCAGTCCAGAGATATATGTATTTTGCATAGGGACCCCATATAGTCAGGTACAGCTGTCTCTCTTTTTTTTAAGGTAGATGGCTTTCACCAACTGGAAATGATAATGCTATTTAAAATAAGCAAACCATCTAGTTTTCATTTAAGATAAAGGCTTAACATTAATTTCTATAGATGACTTTAAAACTTTTAAATCAAGTTGAAATACTGAAGATACTGCTGGGCTCTATGCATTAATTTTAGCAATAAAACCCTTGGTGTTAAGGGTTTAAACTGATCCACAATACATGCTCTTGCAATTTCTCTGAACACAAAATTCACCCATGGAGACTAATTATTAATAAAATTTACTACTGCTACTCAATCTTTTTTCCTGTTTTTGTTATATTTGCATATATGTTTCTAGAGCTCGTGCTGCCTACATAATCCCATTTATAATGTTGCCACCACAGTTTTATCCACCTTCCAATCCCTCCTTCCTCTAGTCTGCATGTTGCTTCTATTGTCTCAATGTTTGATAGCTCAGCTTTAAAATAGAAAACTGATATTATGCATTCAAAGGATAATAAATAGGAGGGAATATTGTTTAGAGGGTAGAGCATGAGAATCAGGACTCCGGGGGTTTTGTTCCCAAGCCTGCTGTGTGATCTGGGGTAAGTCACTGAGAGCTAAATAGTGAAGCCCTGGTTCATGTTAGTGAGCACTTACTCAAGTAATTGGGACTTCTCCCACGAGTAAGGGCTCCACAATCAGACCTACTCCCACTTTGTACCTCAATTTACCCATTTGTAAAAATAGGATAATACCTCCAAGGGGTGTTGTAAAGATTCATTGTTTAGTGTCTGTAAAGCATTCAGATCTGTGGTGGGAAAGTACTAGATAAGTGTGAAATATTATTGGTCCTTGTCACAGTGAATTCGATAACTATGAACTAAATTACTTGAGCATCCCTGTAATGAGCTGGGAAGTTGGCTTTTGTGTGTATGTCAATTATATAATATACTGGTGACGTGAAAATTTATGAAGCATATTTCCAGTCTTATGTATGGGTACTTCAAAGAGTAGCTGTTCTCTCTGTATATATTTTAAAAAAAAAAAACATAACTGTATCCTTCATTATTTGTTATAAAATATATGCCACCACAACTGAAACTGTGAAGAAAAGTCCTGTCTCTCTTCATAGATTTGCTGAAAAAAGCTAAAGTTTGACTATTCAGTGATAGTACTAGAAGGGTACATAGGAACATAAAATGGACTCTGTCACTTTGTTTAAATGAGTTTGTTTAGAATATTCAGATTGATGTAATGCAGCCCATATATGATACTTCCTAGAAGGGTGACATTGTTATGTGCTCTTTGCTAGCATCTATTCTGCATGCTGTGAGTTAAAAGCATAATCACTGTATGTCTTTACCCTTATGTGTTGTGGTCTAACACTTTTTGGAGGTTTCAGGGACTGTCATCTTCAAACAACAGAGAAATGATGTTTGTATTTTTATTCTTGATATTCCCACATCTCATTAACTTCAATATGCATCAAAAGTTACTCAGTTCTCCTTGAAAATGTATGGAGTAAAGGTTTACAAGTCTAGGGATTGTGTTATCTCCTCACATACCACTCACCAGTAACTCTTACTGAGCATTTTAAAAGGAAAAATAAGAAATTTAGGCTCCCTACTTTGGTCTCCCCATTCTAGACCATTCTTTTAATCTATTGCTATTGCAGCAGGGTAGGTTTTAACTTTTTTGTGGTACAACAAAACCCCTCTACATAACCTCCAAAAGACTCTGTACACCTGAGGGTAATACAACAGAGATGGAATAAACATAATAGAAATTTTCCTGGCTTGGGTTGTACAAGGGGAAAATACTGAGATTTTGAGTATCCTGAAAAGGAGGTGCCTGTCAGCTGGTCCCAGAGTTGAGGCACAGTGGCTTAATAGTCAGTTCATATGACTAAAGAGATTTCCCCATCAAAAGTGGTTTTTAGGTGACTGTTCCCACTATGAGTAGTGTACACGTAGCAGAGATGCTCTGAGTAAGGCCAGCGCTGGACGGGTATGGGTGAAGATTCTTCTGTCATGCACACAGGCTGAAGCTACTCCTTCTGCGCTGAGGACAAATGAATATTGGGAGATGAGAGCAGGGGGTGGCTGAGAAAGATGAATGGAATCTACTTACTAATCAACCGTTTGACTCCAATGGCCAACGTTAGTTTCAGTTGTAGAGAGGTGGAAAAGGCAGTTCAGGAGTTGGCTGAAGCCTGACAAGAGAAGAGAAAACACTTAAGTAAAAACAGAATTCCAGAATCAGCCTCAGGTCTACCTGACACAGAATCAGTTCTAGCTTGAGTACCACTGATGCAGAAATGAAGGCTTCCCATTAGAACTGTTCAACAGGCACTTCGTCAGATCCAATCCAGTATGTCCAGTCCCTTGCTAGACGAGGAAACTCTACAAAACTCTTAACGTCCCTAAACAGAGATTCACATCTTGGTTTTCCATCTGCATTCATCACCTTTTACTCTAAGAAGTCATTACCTCTTTCCCCAGTGTGTTTAATTACTTTCTTCTAATCTAACTCTGTACCCAGAAGGTGCTTCAGACATAGGTTGCATACTTCTGTAAGGAGAATGGGTTTTGTGATCAAAACACAGGACCAGAATCTGGGTTCTATTCCCAGCTATGCTACAGATATCATGTATGACCCTGAGTAAGTCATTTAACCTCTGTCAGATGTATGCATTTTAATGCTTTCATCAGTATACTTGTTATGAAAGCTTCAGTTTAGGCTGGGAGGATCATATTCTTCATTGTTTATGCTACTTTCTTAAAAGGGATTGTTCTCCCATGCTGGCCTCCAAGAGATCCTTGCCTGTCATTCTGCAACTCTATTACTGAGGGAAGACTTGCACAAAGAGAGAGTCTCTGCATGTGGCAGGAATCAAGCTGATCCTGTTCTGTGGCAGTGGGGAATTCCACAGTCACTACGGATATTAGTATTTATCCTCCCTGAAGGGGTGTTATGAGCTTAATGAATGGTTGTAAGGCTCTCTGCTGCACCTTTGCTGGAGGACCTTAGAGCACTGTTATAACATGGCTAGCAGAAAAACAATCCTTGGCTACACGGGCCAGGGAAATTGTCCTGGGAAACTGCTACTGACACTGGTGTTCAAAGGTGCAGCTAGCACAGTTCTGAGCCATGTAGAGGGAACCTAGTTGTGTGTATCACCCTGTAGGTGTAACACAAAAATGGGGTGATAAGAGCTGGGGTTGTTGAGTGAAAAAAAGCTTCTAAAATGGTTACAGCTTTAAAAAGCCTCCAGTTTCCAGCAGGTTGTTTTTTTTTTTTTTTTTTGGGCTACTGAAGGATCTCTATATACCAGTTCTCTTTGCTCCAGGTGGTGTCTTTGGCCTCCATCAGATGGAAAGTGTACACATGGCGGGACCACTCTGAGCTGTTCAACTCACTCTTGTGGACAACTTCTCCATGGATAAGAATGAGGCCACCTGTTTGAAATAAACACACATCTGTCTTTCCTTTTGAATGTCTCCTTCCTCTGTGCCATACAAGAGGAGCTGTTGCTGTCTTTGAAAGGTTTGTCATGATAACGAAACAAAAGTCAGACTTGGGAATACAGCCCATTGATTCCTATGGTAAGAATTTGTTTGGGAAGACTCCAGGAATATATCATACTGTTGCTTTGGTTCTACGAGATCCATTTCTTTCATTGTGGACTCTTCACATAACCCTTTGGCAGCAGCTGGGGCATCAGGCCTGCATTGGCAATACATCATTGCATTCCCTCTGGGCCTGTGGTTTAAAACTGAATGTGTGTCACTGCATCTAACTCTCTTGAATTTTCACTGGTTCTACAGATGAATCTTTACCTTTGCGGATGGGCACAGGAATAAACTGGCTATCTTGATAAGTCTGCTCAGAGCCGATGAAATGTGTGCATGGTAAGGTGCCCGGCGGGGCTCGGACCATTCTACGTGTGATGCCATCTGCAATTCCACAGTAGACAAAACTTTTTTTAAAAAAACTTAATAAATCATTTGACCTGACAATAAATAAACTCCTGTTAAGATTCAATTTTAGACTATTTAATCCATCAAATAACAAAAGCTTGATCAAGTTTAATAATCAAAGATTAATTAGCACAATACAAACAGGAAAGAGTTAATACTTGACCAGTCTAGAAATCATGCTTTGCAGAAAGGACATCTCGGCTCTGTTCCAAAGCATTAACTCACTTCTCCTTATATTTATACCCCATTTGTCATGCACAGGAAACTCTCTAAATGCCTTTATTTCATGATGAACCCTACTTTTCCTTTCCTATGCATTTTGCACCTACTGTCCGAGGTTCTTGGGCACCTGTACCTAATTAGTTTAACAATCTTGCATCAATTATAATAGTTGCTTATTACTTTAACAAAGCTCAGCATAATATTATTTTGTGCTCAATAATCTCTACATACGCCAAGAATAAAAGCTTACACGCAGCTTTTTATAAATATTTTAGTACAGAGCTTTCTGGGAGGGCTTGTTCAGTTAGCAGATCCTATAAAATGTGTAATATCAACTAAATACTGTTAGCTACCAATACTTTCTGGTTAACCTCTGCAATCATAGCCTCTGCACTGACTGGAAAACTTAATCCCCTCATTACATTATATATACCCTCCATCGTTTCACTAATGAAAATTCTTTCCTTGCTCATTTTCTCTTTTTATTGGAAAAAGATTAAGGTTTATCTGGCAGTACAGAAACTAACACTGCTGTCTTTTGTCTGCGTTCTCATCTGTGCCCTGGCACGTTAACAAGTGTTACCCTTATCTGCAACAACATGCAGTGCTTTCTGAGCAGAGTCCTCCACTTAAGCAAAACGCATCTTTGGCACCACTCTCCTTTCTGTAACAGTACAGATGTTTAACTGCAGCTCCAGAGTCTTATGCTGAGTTTAGGCACAAATTGTGATTACAACAAAGTGCAAAGCTTGATGATTTGCACTTTGGGAAGAATGTCTTTTGCTTGATTTTTTTTTTAAATTTATGTATTTTTAAAAGAGACCTGAGGATTGTACCTGTTTTAAGGCACATTAAAATTTGAGATGAAATGGATTAACCGTGCCCCTGGAGCTAATTAGTTCCCATGTTAGACATATACTAAGTGTAAAACGTGCACCAATAGTTAGAAGCCCGTGGCAACTTCCATCTGTCGAGAAAGAGAGGATACACAGATCTTATTTTGATTTGGCCTCATCTATGTGTTGCCATAGTCCACTGGTCGCTCTCTGATCTCTTGTATGCTATCCAATTCATTCTTGTTTTCAATGTTTGCGTTTGTTTTGTATGTTTGCTGAATTTTAGACCAGTGTTGGGGGGGTAAGTGCAAGGTTTTTATTCTTCCTCCCCTTACACAGAGCAAGCTGCGGTAGCAATATTCTTAGTCTTGACCCAGGACAACAGAAAAGGTTAATGGGTATATATCCTGAAGGGATCTGTGTTTACAGCTGGGAGGTGGGTGATGGGGGTGTCAATATAAATAATTTAGTGCAGCAGCAAAGTTTTATTAAAGAAACAAAAATGAGCAAAGTGGTTTCACTGTGCTTATCCCTAACCTGGGGGAACCTGGAGAAACTGCTCCTTCCAGCCCAGGTCAGGGTGGAGAAGCATTTTCAAGGCTGCTGTAGGAAGCTCTAGAATGAAGTAAGGGTCTGTAGCACTGCAAAGAAGACACTCTTTGGAAGGATCAAAGAGTAGTTGTGAAGGGCTCAAATCTTGAACAAGGAAGGGTCAGATACTTGCTGAAGGAAGTTACTCAGTAATACTAAATTGAAAGGATTTCAGGAACACCAGCAGTGGATCCTAATATTGCAAGGTCTGGATTTAATAAGTAAAAATTTAATAAGATTGTGGGTACCACTGTCTCTGTACTTTAAGCAGATTGTATGGGTATAGTATAGCATTAAACTCGGGCATTTGGTGTCAGAGTCAGAAATAATGTAAAGTTTTTATTTCCAGGAAAGTTTTTGGATTTAAATCACAGATCCTTGGTCCAGTGACCAGCAACAAAGGAAATGAGTCATTTGAGCCAGCCTGCTAAAAGTGGGATTAAGAATCTGGCCCCTAAAAGTACAAAAGGAATGATGTCGCTTTAAACAAAGGTTCCCTGAACCATGATGGTGGCTGCACTAGCTGGATGTGGCCACATGACCACTGAATGATTCAGAGGACACAGTACAATCCGTGCTACTTTCCGCCCGTAACCAGGAGACAAGGGTGCACTTCAGTGTATGGCAGAATAATATGAATCTTACTGGTGTGAGAGCCAGGGATGAACCAGAGACAGCTGTTCTCCTGTGTGGCATTCTCCAGAGCTATCCAGAGGCCCAGAACCCTGCCCAGCGGCTCTGTGTACAGAAATGTGGCATCCTGGTGTGGTCTCACTGAAACCAATAGACACCTGGTTACCTTACATTTTAAAGACTGTTGAATTAAGAGTAATTGAAGGTCTATGGGGCTTTCCTTTCTCTGCCCTCTTGTGACTGCCATATGAATCCTGCTAGAAGTGACAACAGTGAGTATGCACGCTCCTGACAGCGCTGGCTTCCATTTCAACCAAGTCAAAGGGATGCAGAAGTTCACTGGCTGCATGCCTGCTACCACCACCAGCCCCCATAGACAGACAGACAGACACCATCACTTGCAGAATCTCACCGCTGTAGAGGTGGGGGTGGGTGAGTATATCTATTGATAGTGTGCAGGGAGAGACTGATACTGTCCCCTTCCCAATAAGTTCTCAGCTCATGTCCCATTTATTCTAAGGGCAGTACTGCAAGGATAACTTATTCCAAGTCACATTTGAGGCTTATGGGAATTACTTTCGCTTTACAGCAATCCCTGAAAGACAAGGAAACTTGACATACAGTTAGGAAATTCCCCCGATCACTTGTCCTTTCCCATCTGCCTGACATCTTACTTCTTTGGAAATCTCAAGTGTGTTGCGAGAGTCGCCCCCACTGCAATCATAACACATGGGAGTGGGTCACTCTTCAACCTGGTGAGGATATAAGTTAGCCTTTTGCCTGCCCATACAGAAACAGAAAGGAACCCAGGGTGAGATTTTCACACCCCATTCCCAGTAATTTCTAACAGGAACTGGGCATCCAAACCTTTAGGCAGCTTTGAAAAATCTCACTGAATGACTAGTTTATGCCACTCTCCTGTTACTTGAATTCCCTTCCTCCAAACCTTGGTATCTGTACATAATATCTGCAGCCTAGTACAGACGTAGTATGAATTTTACCTTCACCACCAATGCCAGGTTGCTGGAAGAGGACAAAAAGAGAGAAGAGGAGAATGTTAAACTGGAAAATATGAAAATGGCTTCTTTCATGAGTAAATAGGAGATTGGGGTTACTGTACCTTGAAGATATACATGCTCTGGACAACTACTGGTTTCTCAAGGCCCAGTTTTCTTCCCAACTCCTGTGGAACATCCCAAAGTTAGAACACTGCAGTTCTCTGCTCAGTATTTAGCGAATGCTTGCTGAGAATTTTTATAAATCCTTTCATGGGGAGAGGGCTCATCATACAGTTTTTAAACTAAACTATCACATAGTTGAGTTCTTTCAAGTGACTCAAGCTACTACTCACCTGCACTTTGGAGGAGTGAGTGATTTGCTTGAAGATGGGATCGTAAGCATGCAAAGCTGAGGGAAAGAAGTTGTCGCTTAGTGAAAATCCTAGAACTCCTTTCCAGAAGGGACCCTTTAAACTCTGAGGAAGCACAATGATGGGTATTACATTCTGAAGGGGAAGACTGCAGTCTGTCAGGCTCAAACTGCATCCCTCTCAGGAATCAGTTTATGTGCACAGTGCCCATCATCATGTCTGCCCTGTTCCTTTTGCTAAAATGTCTGGGTTAGACAAATTCCTTTTGTTTCAAGCTTTTTATATGGATTGTAAATTAGGCAAAATGTTTCATCAGATGGAGATAACACATAAGTGCTGTTGACATTTGCAAATCATATAATGAATTTCTTTAGAGGACACCAGAGATATACGGTAATCAGTCTCCTTTACAACAAACTGCGGCTATATGAAAATAAAGGTCTATGACCAAAAAATAACTTGGAAGAGATTTCTGGGGTATGTTCTGAAGGAAAACTAAATAGATTATACAGAGCTCCAGATACTAAGAGCTTAGATATTAGAATGGGGAGCACTATACACAACCCTAAGATAGATAAATACTACTAAGGGGTCGCACAATTTGTTGCTTCTATAGGCTGAACTCAGTGCATGCTCCAGGCATCTCGCCATTCTATCTGCAAGCTCCTTGTGTGATGCTCTCCCGTGCCCTTCTATTTCAGGCCTTCCCTGCAACACCCCTCCAATCTACCTCCTGTCAGGGTTTCTGGGTGGCCTCCATTTCCCTCCTCCCATACCAGGGTCCTCCATTCTCCCCTCATGTCATCAGTTATTTTTGCAATCCCAGTCCCACTTACACCATGCCAGTGGCTCTGTGCGCTCCAATTCCCACCTTCCCCTCCATGCCAGGGTCCCCCAGTCTCCCACACCAGGGGCTGTATGGCCCCCACTCCTCTTCCCACCAATGGCAGTGGTTGTGAGCCCTCTATCTCCCCTTCCTTCCATACAAGGGTCCCCCAATTTTCCCTCCAGCAGGGGTTCTGTGAGCCCCTTATACCAGGATCCCCCATTATTCCTCCCATGCCAGGCACTGCATTCTTGCTCCCCTTTCCCTCTACACACCATTACTATTTGTCTGGGAGAGAAGTCTGTCAGGTTGTCACCATGTTGAACTATAGGGAGAATGGGCACAGTGACAGATGAAACAGACTTGTTATGGCAGAAGGCATTAGTGGGTGCCAACAATCCATTGTTTGATCTATAGACCATAACAGAAGTGCTTGAAGTTGTAATTATGCTAAAGAGATGGAAGGGGCTCCATGTATGCATTTTTCCCCTTTCAGTTTTCCAATTGTCCTCCAAATGAGTAGAGTTCTGGCAGTGGAAGCCTAGAACGTTCCTGGAAACTTTGGAATTGATCAGTTGTTGCATTCAAAAGTTCTCCCATTACAGACAGACAGAAATGCCACCAAGTTGAGCACTGAGCCTCACAAGCTCCGTCAATTATTTGAATGTGTCCTTCAGAGTATTACAGTTCTTAGAATTTGAATAAAGCATGATGAGAAAACTCTGCATAGATGAAACATGGGGCATCAAATTTTTATCATATGTAAAATTAAGAACTGGGAGCACAAATTCGGTGCTCTTTGAATGCCTTAACTTGCCCTAGCATTTTTAACCTGGAAGCAAATGCTTTGGATTCAGGATCACTCTTAAAGATGATAGAATTTGCTGTTCAGTCAGCTTACTCAACCCAGCAGAGACTGCTACAGAGCAAAAATGTGGCTAGACAGAAAATAAGTGGATAAATTGCAGAAGAATGGGTCAAAATGAATCCTCCTCTTGGAATTGCTGTTGAGCCTGAGTGAGAAGGATGCTATTTTTGTTTTCCGTTTCCTCTTGAAGGAGCACTTGCACTACAGCGAAGGACAAAGAGAGGGTGGGAAGAATTGTTTTGGTTTTTTTTTGGGACACTGTTTTCCCTATAGAGACTGCAGGACTGTGATATCAGATACTGGATTTTCAAGTTTTAACGGAGAAAGATCTGGGCAGGGTTCCTGCGTTTGTGAGATAAAAATGCTGAACCCCATTATGTTTTCTCTGGGTATTGTTTGAAAACAAAAGGGATACAGCTAGTTCTTTAGCAGCTGGAAGAGGGGAAATAGGACACATTGGAAACCTGTAAGATTGAGAAACTGCTGGCAATGTCACAGTGAAGAATCCCAGCTTGTTGAGTGCCAGCAGTGTGCTCAGAACAGAGAAGATACAGTCTGTCCTAAGGATCTTAACAACCTAGACTGGACACAAACAAAACAGCTGAAAACAATCTGTTGCATAAGAGATACATAAGTTTGAACTTCAGCCAATATAGGTCAGTGATTCACTTTAAAAACTATAAAAGCCTGGTGGAACAAGTGGCTTTTGAAAAGCGATGTAAGTGGGAAATGAGAGGCCTTTTGGCAAAGGACAGGGAGGTTTCCTAGCATGGGATAACACAGAAGGAAGCACAAATACGAGAGTGGAAGGATTCAAAAGGGGCAAAGGAAGAAGCAAACTGATATGTGGGCAGGGTGAAGCTGAGCAGAGGCTTAGAGTTAAATCTGATGAACTTGAACCTGATTCTGGTGAGGGAAAGAGACAGAGCAAGGTTGCAAAGAAGGGAGGCCACAGTGGGAGGAGAGGAGGATTTTTGCAATAATTTTCAGTGGACTGGGGCATGGCAAAAGCAATAGAACAGAGAGGAGGAGGCTATAATCAAGGCAAGAGAATTTACATCTACGTGTCTTGTTTTAGTGGTAACAATACCATAGGCAGAGTCCATGTTTAGCTAGAACATTAATGCAGGAGAGCAGTTTCTTTGTAATGTGCTGGCATTATTCACAATAGCCAAGTCTGAAGGAATGCTTAGTTCTGGAAAATACACCCCATATTTTCTCTCCAAAAGCATCACAGCTCATCCATACCGTGGCCAATCTTGTTTATAGATTTCTCCTTTGGAACAAGAAAGTCACCTAAGAAACAAAGTGCTGAATTAAAGAGGATGTAACACAACCAAGAGTAAACAATAGCGCCTAGAATTCCCCTCGCTCCCAAATAGTCATTCAGCCACCTTGTCCCTTTAAGAAAGTTCCTGGCTCACTAGCAGATTGTTTACATTTCTTCCCATCCACCCCCAAACCCATTACAGCTGATAGTAGGTAACTTTTACCTTTTTCATCAAAAACTCCTTTCTCAAAGAAGAATCTGATCTTGTCTCCACTGGTTAGAAAATAATCTGCACTGCCCTGTCAGAGACAAGAGAGACCCAGCAATGGTAATATCCTAGAGAGTATATCTCGGTGAACACTTCCAGCAAGGAGCTAGTACTTTCCTGCATCTTCTCCCCATTAAGAGAGCAGGAAGAATAAAGTAGAATAAAGACATTAGTAGTTCACACAGAGGCTTTTCACTGTGCTAAACTTCTTGGGCTCCAGCTTGCCCTTTGCAGACACCCAATATAGGGTGAACAGAAGGGTTTTGGTTTGTGAGAAGTGTTGATTTGACAGCCCTGGAGACTGAGATATTCTTTATCCATGGAACCAGTATAGTATAGATAGTAACAATAGAGACTCTCACACCTTCAGCCCTTTTCTGCGGGAACTCTTCATGTTCAGCCTCTGTGACCCATTCCTCTCTTGGCCTTTCCTGAGACCACCAACAAAATGTTGCCCACGGCAGCAGAGAGGGTGGTCGTCAGAGGCAAGATTGCAGTTCAGCAGTACCTAGCTCTCAGCCCCCTGCTCAGACATGCCTCCTTGCAAGAACAAAACCCTTTTTCCTGAACTGCCTAGTGATACAAACTAGCCCTTTGCTAACCACCTCAGGAGTAATTTGAGATTTAGATTGCCCTTTTTCGCCTCTATCTGTACCTGTGCCTGGAGCTGTTCCTCTTCATCGGTGGAGAACTCTGTACGGCAGTGGGGTGGCACATCCATCTTGGCTATAATCTTGTCTATTTGCTCCCTCATGGCATCACATTCTTCTGTGGTGAAAAACTCTTCCAAAACGAGGAAACCATCTTCATAGAACTAGAAGAGAACACTAGAGTTCAGATGGGGACAGAGTGGCTGGCATTCTGTGGTACACTTAGGAGACAGCAGTTATATTCAATAAAGGTGCACCTCCTGGCTGTCAGTCTTCTTCAGTTTGGTGTAATGCACCTTTTCTTGGGTTTTGCGTCCAGATGCTAGATCAGACTTACATCCATGGAGATCCTCTCTGCTAGTGGAGATGCAGTAGAGCAAGGTGCATTTTTCATACATTGTACTTCGTATCATGGACCTCTTTTAATGCGCATCTAATAATCTGCATTTTTACCTGACCCTCCAATCCCACACAAACCAGCCTCTCTCATTATACAAGTTTTTTACAGATTCATTTTAATAATTTCCTTAATGAGTAATGTTTGTATTCTTACTTTTTTTAAAAGGGAGATTTCTACTGGGAAAAAACAAATAATTCAGTAAGAGATTCACAGACTGCGGTTAGGGAGAAAGTGATTACAACTCCTACATGCAGCAGGCTCCAGGAACCAAATGAAATATGCATTTGTTACTGTCCTCATGGCTTAAAATTCTCTTCCCCAAAGGAGGAAATTAAGTAACTGCTAAACACAAACTTTACCAAAATGAACAACGCAGTTTTGTTCTGTTTCAGGATTAGAACAAGAGTACTGAGAGGTTGGAAAAAGTACTTGTTCTAAACTTAACTGAGAATGTGTGCTGATTTCTTATGGTGATTGATCAATCCCTTATGAAATTAAATTAGCTCTCTGGACATTGCAGACTTGAACCGCTGCCCCTTTATTAAAAAAAAAAACCAGCAGGTTATCCTCTGACAGGCAAATTTAAACTTCAAGAATAAGGCTGATAGTTGAGAGAGAGAGAGACAGAAGGGTGAAAGAAAAAAAGAACTCTTCAGATAGGAACTCTGCAGGACAAACCACATTTCTGGAGCCACTTCTAGTCCTGATAAAGTGCTCAGACTACTCCATTTTGTATACTGTATTATCTATCACCGATTCCGAAAGCAAAACTTTGCTAAACACAAGTGCTGGTTAACTGGACAGGAATGTGGGTTCGTGAAATCTGTTCCCTTCTCACAAGTACAGCACCATCAGCCTGCATCTCTCTCTCTCTCTCTCACACACACACACACACACACCCAGCGCTGGATGCAGTACTTCCTTGCTCTCCTCCCTTACCTGTTGGATCTGTTCTTCGGTTACAAACGCCATGGCAGATTCAGACCCAGAATGATGAGATAAGTACGCAGTAACTCCTCCAGAGCCCTGCCAGCTAACTCCCCCGCTCCCTGTGAGCCTTTCAACACCATGTGATAAAGCAGGGGCGGGCAAACTTTTTGGCCTGAGGGCCACATCCGGTTTCTGAAATTGTATGGAGGGCTGGTTAGGGGAGGCCCTGCCTCCCCAAACAGCCAGGCGTGGCCCGGCCCCCGTCCCCTGCTTCTCGCCTCCTGGCCTCCCCCCTGGGACTCCTGCCCTATCCAACCCTCCCTGTCCCTTGACGGCCCCCCCAGGACCCCTGCCTCACCCACTCCTCCCACTCCCTGCCCCCCCATCCAGTCGCTCCTCTCATTCCTGACTGTTCCCCCCCGGGACCCCTGCCCCATCCAACCACCCCTTCTCCCTGTCCCCAGACCCCCCGTGCCCCATCCAACCCCCCCCTTCCTGACTGCCCCCCGGGACCCCTGCCCCCATTCAACCCCTCTATTCCCTGCCCTCTGACCGCCCCGACCCCTATCCATACCCCCAAACTCCCCTGCCCTCTATCCCACCCCCCTGCTCCCTGCCCCATTACCGCGCTGCCTGGAGCACCGATGGCTGGCGGCGCTACAACCAGAGCACCAGGACAGGCAGCCGCGCCGCCCGGCTGGAGCCAGCCACGCCACCGTGCAGCACAGAGCACCGGGTCAGGCCGCGGCTCTGCAGCTGTGCTGACCAGCAAGAGCTCGCAGCACCACCACCCAGAGCATTGCACCGGTGGCGCAGGGAGCTGAGGCTGCGGGGGTGGGGGACCAGCAGGGGAGGGGCCAGGGGGCTAGCCTCCCGGGCCAGGAGCTCAGGGGCCAGGCAGGAGGGTCCCGGGGGCCGGATGTGGCCCATGGGCCATAGTTTGCCCACCTCTGTGATAGAGAATACTTGGGAACCAGATTGCTATCCAAACAATCAGGGATTTCCCTCCCTTCTCCCCTCCACCCCGCTCAGTTCTTTGCCCAGATCTGCTCCTAACTTTCATTGAAATCAATATTTGCTGAGGTGATATAGCCGTGTTAGTCCCAGGATATAAGAGACACGGTGGGTGAAGTAATATCTTTTATTGGTCCAACTTCTGTTGGTGAAAGAGACAAGCTTCTTCAGGCTTGAAGAAGAGCTCTGAGAAAGGCTGTAACAGAGACTTGGTGGGATAACTCACATGACTGGAGTACTGTCATGGATGGATATAAGCTGTTCAGGAAGGACAGGCAGGGCAGAAAAGGTGGAGGAGTTGCACTGTATGTAAGGGAGCAGTTTGACTGCTCAGAACTCCAGTATGAAACTGCAGAAAAACCTGAGTGTCTCTGGATTAAGTTTAGAAGTGTGAGTAACAAGGGTGATGGCGTGGTGGGAGTCTGCTATAGACCACCGGACCAGGGGGATGAGGTGGACGAGGCTTTCTTCCGGCAACTAACGGAAGTTACTAGGTCGCAGGCCCTGGTTCTTATGTGAGTCTTCAATCACCCTGATATCTGCTGGGAGAGCAATACAGCGGTGCACAGACAAACCAGGAAGTTTTTGGAAAGCGTAGGGGACAATTTCCTGGTGCAAGTGCTGGAGGAACCAGCTAGGGGCAGAGCTCTTCTTGACCTGCAGCTCACAAACTGGGAAGAATTAGTAGGGGAAGCAAAAGTGGATGGGAACCTGGGAGGCAGTGACCATGAGATGATCAAGTTCAGGATCCTGACACAGGGAAGAAAGGAGAGCAGCAGAATACGGACCCTGGACTTCAGAAAAGCAGAATTTGACAACCTCAGGGAGCTGATGGGCAGGATCCCCTGGGAGAATAACTTGAGGGGGAAAGGAGTCCAGGAGAGCTGGCTGTATTTTAAAGAATCCTTATTGTGGTTACAGGGACAAACCATCCCGATGTGTAGAAAGAGTAGTAAATATGGCAGGCGACCAGCTTGGCTTAACAGTGAAATCCTTGCTGATCTTAAACACAAAAAAGAAGCTTACAAGAAGTGGAAGATTGGACAAATGACCAAGGAAGAGTATAAAAATATTGCTCGGGCATGCAGGAGTGAAATCAGGAAGGCCAAATCACACCTGGAGTTGCAGCTAGCAAGAGATGTTAAGAGTAACAAGAAGGGTTTCTTCAGGTATGTTAGCAACAAGAAGAAAGTCAAGGAAAGTGTGGGCCCCTTACTGAACGAGGGAGGCAACCTAGTGACAGAGGATGTGGAAAAAGCTAATGTACTCAATGCTTTTTTGGCCTTTGTCTTCACGAACAAGGTCAGCTCCCAGACTGCCGCACTGGGCAGCGCAGCATGGGGAGGAGGTGACCAGCCCTCTTTGAAGAAAGAAGAGTTTCAGGACTATTTAGAAAAGCTGGACGAGCACAAGTCCATGGGGCCGGATACGCTGCATCCAAGAGTGCTAAAGGAGTTGGCAGATGTGATTGCAGAGCCATTGGCCATTATCTTTGAAAACTCATGGCGACCGGGGGAGGTCCCGGACTACTGGAAAAAGGCTAATGTAGTGCCCATCTTTAAAAAAGGGAAGAAGGAGGATCCTGGGAACTACAGGCCACTCAGCCTCTCCTCAGTCCCTGGAAAAATCATGGAGCAGGTCCTCAAGGAATCAATTCTGAAGCACTTAGAGGAGAGGAAAGTGATCAGGAACAGTCATCATGGATTCACCAAGGGCAAGTCATGCCTGACTAATCTAATTGCCTTCTATGACGAGATAACTGGCTCTGTAGATGAAGGGAAAGCAGTGGACGTGTTGTTCCTTGACTTTAGCAAAGCTTTTGACACGGTCTCCCACAGTATTCTTGTCAGCAAGTTAAAGAACTATGGGCTGGATGAATGGACTATAAGGTTGTCATAAATATAAAGGGAAAGGTAAACCCCTTTGAAATCCCTCCTGGCCAGGGGAAAGCTCCTCTCACCTGTAAAGGGTTAAGAAGCTAAAGGTAACCTCGCTGGCACCTGACCAAAATGACCAATGAGGAGACAAGATCCTTTCAAAAGCTGGGAGGAGGGAGAGAAACAAAGGGTCTGTGTGTCTGTCTATAGTCTGTCTTTGTCGGGGATAGACCAGGAATGGAGTCTTAGAACTTTTAGTAAGTAATCTAGCTAGGTATGTGTTAGATTATGATTTCTTTAAATGGCTGAGAAAAGAATTGTTTCTGAATAGAATAACTATTTCTGTCTGTGTATCTTTTTTGTAACTTAAGGTTTTGCCTAGAGGGGTTCTCTATGTTTTTGAATCTAATTACCCTGTAAGATATCTACCATCCTGATTTTACAGGGGGGATTTCTTTATTTCTATTTACTTCTATTTTTATTAAAAGTCTTCTTGTAAGAAAACTGAATGCTTTTTCATTGTTCTCAGATCCAAGGGTTTGGGTCTGTGGTCACCTATGCAAATTGGTGAGGCTTTTTATCCAACATTTCCCAGGAAAGGGGGGGTGCAAGTGTTGGGAGGATTGTTCATTGTTTTTAAGATCCAAGGGTCTGGGTCTGTAGTCACCTAGGCAAATTGGTGAGGCTTTTTACCAAACCTTGTCCAGGAAGTGGGGTGCAAGGTTTTGGGAAGTATTTTGGGGGGAAAGACACGTCCAAACAGCTCTTCCCCAGTAACCAGTATTAGTTTGGTGGTGGTAGCGGCCAATCCAAGGACGACGGGTGGAATATTTTGTACCTTGGGGAAGTTTTGACCTAAGCTGGTAAAGATAAGCTTAGGAGGTTTTTCATGCAGGTCCCCACATCTGTACCCTAGAGTTCAGAGTGGGGGAGGAACCTTGACAAAGGTGTATAGAAAGCTGGCTAGATTGTCGGGCTCAACGGGTAGTGATCAATGGCTCCATGTCTAGTTGGCATCTGATATCAAGTGGAGTGCCCCAAGGGTCGGTCCTGGGGCCGGTTTTGTTCAGTATCTTCATAAATGATATGTAAGATGGTGTGGATTGCACCCTCAGCAAGTTTGCAGATGACACTAAACTGGGAGGAGAGGTAGATACGCTGGAGGGTAGGGATAGGATACAGAGAGCCCTAGACAAATTGGAGGATTGGGCCAAAAGAAATCTGATGAGATTCAACAAGGACAAATGCAGAGTCCTGCACTTAGGACGGAAGAATCCCATGCACTGCTACAGACTAGGGACCGAATGGCTAGGCAGCAGTTCTGCAGAAAAGGACCTAGGGGATACAGTGGACGAGAAGCTGGATATGAGTCAACAGTGTGCCGTTGTTGCCAAGAAGGCCAATGGCATTTTGGGATGCATAAGTAGGGGCATTGCCAGCAGATCGAGGGACATGATCGTTCCCCTCTATTCAACATTGGTGAGGCCTCATCTGGAGTACTGTGTCCAGTTTTGGGCCCCACACGACAAAAAGGATGTGGAAAAATTGGAAAACGTCCAGCAGAGGGCAACAAAAATGATTAGGGGACTGGAACACATGACTTATGAGGAGAGGCTGAGGGAACTGGGATTGTTTAGTCTGCGGAAGAGAAGAATGAGGGAGGATTTGATAGCTGCTTTCAACTACCTGAAAGGGGGTTCCAAAGAGGATGGATCTAGACTGTTCTCAGTGGTAGCTGATGACAGAACGAGGAGTAATGGTCTCAAGTTGCAGTGGGGGAGGTTTAGGTCGGATATTAGGAAAAACTTTTTCACTAGGAGGGTGGTGAAACACTGGAATGCATTACCTAGGGAGGTGGTGGAATCTCCTTCCTTAGAAGTTTTTAAGGTCAGGCTTGACAAAGCCCTGGCTGGGATGATTTAGTTGGGGATTGGCCCTGCTTTGAGCAGGGGGTTGGACTAGATGACCTCCTGAGGTCCCTTCCAACCCTGATATTCTATGATTAGAGACCTTACAGTGGCACAGCTGTACCGATGCAGCTGCGCCGCTGTAAGATTTCTCATGGAGCTGTCTATGCCGACAGGAGAGAGCTCTCCCTTTGACATAATTAAAGCCCCCCCATTGAGAGGCGGTAGCTATACGCCGACATAGCGCTGTGCACACTGCCACTTATGCTGCCGAAACTTATGTCGCTCAGAGGGGTGGTTTTTTAACACCCCCGAACGACATAACTTTTGCCAACATAAGTGGTAGTGTAGACATGGCCTTTGAAGTC